TTACTTCTGCATGGACAATGGGGGGAAATTGTTTTTAAATGCAACTACTATTCATTACATACAGAAGAATTCAAGAGTACGATAATAGTATAGCAGACGGTGTGAGAATAAATTTATAAAAAATAGTGATTAAATAATATATACGCCACCCTTGACTCAGTCTGCACACTGCCCACGATTTAAACCATGGAGATGTTGTCGGCTAACTTTTATAACTTTGGATACCATAAAAAGCTTCTCTAAAAAATCTTGTTTTGATATATTCGATATATCAGTGTTTCCAGAACAAAATTTCCACCCTGTATTTTATGCGACAGAGAAGTTCCCTATATTGATCGTGGACTATACATGTAATAAAAATTAATCGCTAAAAATTATTTGGGTACAAATTAATTCGCAGCTCAGCGTAGGACTTTATGTAGCAACGGTTGTTGACAAGAGAATAAAAAAGCGTTCTTAACTGGGGTTAATTATTTACTCTAATTACATTTACAATTCTTTTCCTGGATGTAGAAACTTCTCGTTAATTAAAATAGTGATTTTTGCTGCACCTAGGCTCTCTCGGAGATAAAATCACAAGCCAAATCGCAGAAGAAATTCCTTCATCCTAATGGGCAGACCATTTATGAGATTAACATTTTGCAACATGAAATGTTTTCATTTCTGTATTGTATGGATAATGTAATAATTGGATTAACGTATTACAGCGCACAGATATAAAAATTATACCGGGGTTAAATTTAGAGAATTGTTGATAATTTAACCTAAAATACGCTTTGTGACACCAAAATTGCCCAATTCTTGGGAAAAACTTAAATTCAAGATACCAATTAAAGTTTCCAAATAAGAAAAGTTTAGTAATGCCATCACGGCAAATTTGAACCTATGATCATAAGTGCGCAACGTACACTTTTGAAATTTACTTTTATTTTGCAATTGACTGGAAAGAAATTTAAATATTCAAGAACTTACCTTTCAATTTGTAAAACGATAAGAACAGCCATGATGTAATAACCGACGCCAATCACACAGCAACCGTGCAAAATAAAGGAGACTAATAAGCTCTCAAGAGCAACAGATCCGTTTAAGTACAGGTACGTAATCGGCTGTTGGAAACCAAATCAAGGTTGAGTAAACTTAGGTATATAAACTAGCATTTTTTCACAAAACAGTTCCTGGAAGGCAATCATTATCATTCGAATATGCACGTTTTCAATGAAACAATGTCGTCTGCGTAATACACAGGGATGATACAGGATGACGTTCAACAAATTAGAGACAAGCTGAAATTTGGCAAGGTAGTTTGTTTTAAGGTACTAAATACCCTCTGAAACCCCAGCGCCGAGACGTTGAGCCCGTCACCCCAAAACCACCCCTTAAGTGGCGTAAAATCTACCTTTTTCGAAATTTGTCCTAATAACTCTAAAACTAAGCATTTTAAGGAAAAATGTAAAGAGAGAAAAATTGTAGAGAAGAAAATTTCCTACGAAATAGGTATAACTACATCAATTTTTTTAGATGTTTAGTGGCGCAGATAAAATTTGTAGCAATTCGTTGAACAAGGTACCTACTTATTTAATTACGAGTACTTACTGGAGTTGAATCCTAAAAAATAGAAATATCAAGCTGAAATTTCGCATAGTACTTTGTTTTAAGGTACTAAATACCCACTGAAACACCAGCGTTGAGGCGTTGAGTCCATCACCCTAAAACCACCCCTTAAGTGAGGTAAAATTTACATTTTATTTGCATTATTCTTAATAACCCTACAAGTAAGAATTTTAGAAAAAAGTGACAAAAAATAAAACTTGTAGAATACAATGAAGTGGTATTGCGGGTTCGGGAGTAATTTGTGGGGGGTGGGAGACATAATTATTACACAACATATGCTAGAACGTTTAATATTTAAAGAACAAAAATAGGGAACTTATCTTAAAAAGAGTCTTCATCTGCGTCCACATATGTTGGGTTCATACAAGTAATGCCATTGCATTGCCCACATGCCATAGAGCAGCTAAGACCCATTCGCTTACATCTACATGCTTTTTTACAGCCCCCTGATGAGCAATTGCAAAAAATTTTTTGCAAAACCCATGTAGGTGCCATGGCTTGGTCTGAATGAATTGGGTGCAGATTTCCATTTTTTAGGATCCACCCCCAATCCTGCGGTGGTAAATTGTTATTTAACCAAGCCTGTACCTGCAATTTAAAAATTATGGTAAGGTACCTATTTCAACGCACCACATTATATTTGACTCACCTGATGGAAAACTCTAAATCCGTGATACTTTGCACTGTTTGAGGTAGGTGGTAATGATGCCAAGTTAAAATTGGTATTAAGGCTTCGTTTGGCTACATACTGTTGATAAAGTGTGTATCTAACACTATCCAAATCTGGTGTTTGTGGTACACTTTTGACATATGCTGCTATAAAGAATTGAGTTGTAATTTCTTCTAACTTCTCCTTTGTAGCATGAGGATTATAAAATTCTTTTAAGATGTTACATAACCTTTTCCTTTGAACGGTGTTTACTAAATTAATTTTGCCTTTATTAAACACAGCAGAGGTTGTGTCACAACCAGTCATAGCGTGGACACTAAGAATCACATCCTTTAGGTCTCCCAATCTTTGTTGTAAGGCCGATATATTGGTTACTTTATTTGGTTTAGATAATTTTCCCGGACGAATCATAAACAGCCTCTTCTGACAGTAATGGATTAATAACACCATAATATCTGTATCGTCGCTAACTACTGCTACCGCACCTTCAGGAAAATTGTCACTTATTGCGACTGCAGTAGTTACAATAAGAGTATCAGCATCACCATCAGCGAATTTAACATTGATTCCATTTTCGACCAACATTTTTCCGAGAGCCCGTATGAAGTTGCTTTTGTTAGTGCTGTTTGACAAAAAATCTGCTTTTGGTATCTTCACTGCAGATAGATTGGAAAAAGATACAATTGGTACCATTTTTTTACCCGAAGACCTGCGATTTTGCTCTACAATTTTGGTTTGCATTTCTTCATAGCCGTCGAAAACAACAGTGACACTTTGACCATAATGATATTTTATATAATTGTAGTATTGAGAAAATACATCTGAAAATATTGCTGGGTTTTGCCAAACAACTTTGTGTAGCAAGTGCCCTCCATCTATTACATAATGTGTTATGGAATTCGGATTTTGAAGTAATGGCGGGTGCAGCTTATCAAATAATTTGTATAACGTTGATTTGCTGGTTTTTCGTAATAATCCGTTGTCAAACAAACTAGGAGACCATGCAGCCAATTCATACTTAAAACACTGTTTTATCTCTTCAGGAGACGATGCAGAGCAAAGTATTCTACTAAAAAGAAGTGCAGGATCTACAGTTTTTTGTTCACCATTAATTTTTACTGATGAACTTCCTGATAAAAGCGATCTCACTTTGTCGTTACGTTTAAGCCGTAAGACATTGTAGTTGGTACCAATAATTCTGCTTATCACTTTTTCGCCGATTTCTGCAGCTTTGTCGCAGTTGACGTCACTGTTGGCCACAACACCAGAACTAATTGACATTAACTCTTTTATATCAGGATTAAACGGATTTCGTATCTCTAACCAATCAAATAGTTTGCGTAAATCTTGTTGATCTCGTTCTATTCGTGAGGACCGTAACTCCACATGTTGCTCGGATGTGAGTGTAATTACTCCTGAGAAATTTTCTAAGGCTTCACTTACTTGAAGACATTGGGGCATTCCACTTATCCAGCGAGATAATGTGCTGTCTGTAATTCCTCTTCCGTGAGTCAAGCCTCCAGAGGTTTTCATACGTCGCATAAGCTCTTGCTCAATTATCATATCTAACGGTGTCCCAGACCAATACTTATCGTTTCTACGAACTACATTACAATCTTCTTTGGTCAATCTTCTGTAATCTTCCGGATGCATACTATGTTTACAAGCTAACATATTTTGAACATAAAGATGACAACTTTTTGCATATGGCAAATGTCCTGCCGCATGGAAATATGGTAGCATGGAACTGGCACAATATAAGTGTAAATCCCAATCGGCAGTTCTATCTGCTTTGATTGTCATTTTTAAAATCTCTACCTGATTCCAATATTGACACCATAGTTTTGCAGTCCGATGGGAAGCTTCTGTTGTTTTAAATATTTCTTCAAAATTACTCAGTAGTCTGTTCAAAAGTAAATGGTCGTTGACATTTTCTATTTGAGTATCAGGGTTATACAGTTCTTCCAAATCATTTTTGCAATATTCAGGACTACCTGTATTTTTTAAAAATAGCAGTTGTGTTAATGCAGATTGGGTAAGCAGATGAGCACGCAATGCCCTCGAATAAGCATGACCATTAATTAGATGCGGAATACTATTCCCAGCGTAAACTGTAGCCCACAATTCTTCGAGCCCTGATCCTGACATTGTAAACCCTATTGCTCCCATAAATGACATTATAAGATGGAATGTTCCTAATCGCACAACTACTTGGGATAAATCGTCTGTAGGGTTTGATGCCAACACAATTTCTGTAGCTTTAACAAACAATGGTTGATCAAACGTTGCAATGCAGGTCTTCATATTAAATTTTTTGCATAACTTGAGTGCAAACACCAATGACGAGTAAATAGCAGTAGGGTTACTTGGGTCTAAATTTACAAAAGGCAACGGTACTACTTTACTAACCTCCTGTGAACCCTTACTTTGGATTTTTGCAGACATATATCCTTGCCAGGAAGAATTTGGTTGAAAGTTATTCATTTGACCATATGCCCAAAGACAATTTAACAGACTGGAAACCCGGAGACTTTCAGGTTTTAACACACAGAGTTTTTCAACTGTAATTTTGCTTAAACCAAGGATTGGCGGCTTATGGTAAGCTACGATTGGTGCTGTTCCAAACTGTCCTACTTGCAACTGATTTTGAGGCGTTTTGTGTAAAGGATCTATCGTCATAGCTTTTTCAGGTGTAACAACCATAACTCCGCCCATTGCATGGAAAGTTCCAAATCCATCCAGTGTTCGAATGTTAAAATCTGCATTATCAAATGCAAATTGTATAAATGATGGACTGCTAACATTTACGGATAATTCTGCTGCTGTGTTTTCATACAACATTACAGATTTATAGTGACTAACAAAACCCAAAGCATGTAAAATGGAGAGTAAATCTTTAGATCCAAATTTTCGGTGAAGATGAATACCCAAACCCAAGAGCACCGGAGATATATAAGACTTTGGGCGTATAATAGCGATTATGGCATTGGATAGGCTTACCATTTTTCGTTCGGTTGTCAAATTTTCTTTATCGGATGATGTCTGATTAAAGAGAGTACGTAAAAATATTTTTAAATTGTCAGGAATACAATCTTGGCCTCCGTTTTGAAATTCCGAATTTGTTGGATATGTATTTATTTCATAAACTTGTCTTCTTATATTCTCTCGTAATATTTTTGCTGCAGCAGTTATAATCCTAACACATTCTGATTCCTCATCTTTGTTTCTAGAATTGTACCACTGATCACTCAATATTTTTTCGGCATATTCTTTAAATGTCAGTATTAAGTTTGTTCCTACTTGTGCTGTATTTATTCTATCTTGATAGCAGGCAATTAACATGCCTTTTAAATAGGTTTTGCTCCACATGCAATCTTTGTTTTCGGTAGGTAGATAGCTTTCCATTTTTTCGTGCAAATCATTTAAGGAAAATTGACACATTTCGAGATTGTCGTTTATATAACTACATAGCGAGGAAAATGCTTTATCACATAGCTTATCAGATGGTCTTCCAGGTGGAGTAACTTTTAGTGGTTTAAAAAAATTGTCATGGCATAATTTATGGTAACGTCCTTCAGCAGCCACTAAGTCAATAGATGAATTTATTCTAGTATACACTTGACGTGCCAATTCGTTGTTCTGAACACCACATTGTCTTTCAATATTGTTTTTAATTTGTAATGTTGTCACTACTCTAAAATTCCTGTTACTTTTTTTGTTGGCAGATTTATTACACTCTTCAGTACAAAATAGACACTGTGATTTAAAATCAAACTTCTCACTTACGTTACATGACCTTAGAGAAGCACCTGAAGACATACCACTACACTGTGAAGAGTCAATATTTTCCAAACTCTCCTTCTTTTTTATTAAATAGATTTTTCGACACTTTTCATGTATTCTAACCGTCCTAATATTTTCAATTTTCTTCCATAGTTCATCGTCAAGATATTTACTTTTTTCAATCAATGTCTTTTTACCTCTACTGACAATAACTGCGTCAGCGGTCGACAAAGACAAATCACAAATCGCACACACGTATGCCATTTTCAACAACGTGAAATTAATCTACGGCAACACTGACTGCAACTACGAACTAAACGGAAAATGAGGTGCCGGAAAAGCTGAGACGCCCACGATTGGAGTGGGGGTGGTTGCTTAGAGTTACGGGGAGTTACTTCGAAGACCCCCTTGCAGGCAGTATTGAATTCATCATGTTGTAGGAAACCTAAGTGAACAGTTTCCGGCATTTTATAGGAATATTAGAAAATTCGATGGTACCTACCTACCTATTTCGATAGTTCAATGAATTGCTGAACATTTTATCTGCGCCACTGAGCATCTAAAAAAATTTATGTATACCTATCTGGTAGGAAATTTTCTTCTCTACAATTTTTCTCTCTTGACATTTTTTCTTAAAATGCTTAGTTTTAGAGTTATTACGAAAAATTTAAAAAAATGTAGATTTTGCCCCACTTAGGGGGCGGTTTTGGGGTGACGGGCTCAACGCCCCGGCGCTGGGGTTTCAGAGGGTATTTATAACCTTAAAACAAAGTACCTTGCCAAATTTCAGCTTGTCTCTAATTTGTTGAACGTTACCCACACAAAACGATGGATAGTCCCTGTGCTAAATAAATAGCGTTCAGACGCTACCGTAATAGTGAAAGCGACGGCATTAAGTATGGGTAACAACGAAATGCTGATTGCCAATATTTATACTTCTTATTTTTAATCGAAACAATATAGTTATTTGTATGTTCATTGTTTTTAAGAGCGTATTTATTATGTCATTTAAAAAGAATAAGTAATGATGCGGGAATTAATTTGTCGTTGATTTTCGTTTAATTTCCGATAATTACACTAATTAGCAGGATTTTCGTTTTCAAATTACTTTTAAGGGAATTTTTAGTGCGCATTAAAAATCTCTAGGTAAGTTGAGGAAAAAAGTGGATTTTTTAAAAAATTAATTTGATATTAGGAGCGGGCCACTTAATTCTGACGTCTACATATATGGAAAATAGACTGATCAAGGCGATCGAAGCGGTTGGCCTTCGTGCAGTATAGTGCCAATATTTTTGTTGGGTTGATGAATTACAATGGTCGATGCTTTTAGGCTTTTGTTTTCTTAATCTTTGTCTTTAATGACGTCGGACGATTTCCAATCAACGCAAGACAACTTCTAGATCGTAGAATGAAAGAAATGTACTTACTTCACCTTTCATGACCATGACTACCAAGGCTACATCATAAACTTCCGAATGTTTTCATTTAATTAGGGTTCTAATGGAAAGGGATAAACCAAAGAAGACCAATCGGAACCTTATAAACAATATGCAGCTCTTTTGACCTGCGTCTGCTGGTTCAGATATTCATGTCTCTTTTTTGCATTCTGCAATGCTTATTTGATTGGTTATACTTAAACTTGTTACATGGAACCATTTTTTTCTTAAATTGGCTTACCTCTAAATAGACAGACTATCCAAGAGGATCTCGAATTGCTGTTGCAGCAACTCTCTATTGAGGAAGGTCTGATAACATACTTAGAGCACTTAGACGTATGCCATTTAAGTAATGCTGAGTGCTGAATCCTTTTCTTACTTTTCAACATAAATAAATGTATAATGTATAAATGCAGCTTTCAAAGATATGTCTTATCAATGCAATGAAAACGTCTACGTCAGTCGTGACTTGATAATAGAAATCAAAATAGTTTTTTTTTTAATACGACACCCATACTGGAATTAATGATGTATTGCTGTGTGCAGTGGTAAACGGTCACTAATCCTCCACAAAAACACCTGTCACCTAGCTCAATTAAATAAACTTGCTTATAAATTTCTCAAGACACGCCCGGCCTGCGCTACAATGAAAAAAATCTCGATAAAAACTTAATTTTATTAAATAGGAACCTTAGCAGCCTTGTTCGCATTCAACAACTCCAAATAATTATTTAAGCAAACTTTGGACACAAATACCAAATTTAACATGTGAACTCTAATCTGGGTCGCACTATAGCTTCGATTAAACACACAGCTACTTGATTGACAAAGATAAAATTTCGGTAAGATATACAAAATTAAACACATAAGCTGAAGGAAAGATGGGCTTTCAGAGCCAG